CTTAAAAAAACTCCTCACATAGAAAGATAGGCTAATAGTGAATATTTATGGTTTTCCAGTTTGGCAACAAAATTATGGAGGCTGTGTAGCTGTGATTTAGAAATGCTTATGAAGACTGCTAGCCCCTAGCAAATGCAGGAGTTATGGAGACCTTTGACTTCTTGTGGCGAAGTGTATGTACATTGACCAGAAATTCAAGATTACGTTAAGAAGAATGTACTGACCAGCCCACAGTGTCAAGTAAAGAGGAGTGGTCAGTGCACACGGCCATCATTACAGTCGATTCCTGTCATAGTAACCAGTGACTTATGGTCAGTAGACATAATAGAACCGTTTCGTCATGCATCCGGGGACAACCAGCAACTGAAGGTGATGACAGAACAAAGGACACTTTGAGAGGATACCGTTGCAGCTCCAAACCAATAGCAAGTGATTGTAACGCAGACAGTTATATGATAGATGGTTAGAAACTACGGTATAACAAAGATGGTACTAAGAGATCAGTGTCCTAGTTTTGAGAGTAAATGGTTTAAATCTCGCTTTGGCAGTTGGATATCAAGCCAATAAGAATGACTTCTTATCGTTCTCAAACTAAAGTGTTGAGAGAGAGAGAGATAATCATAGTCAAAAAGAATGGCTAACTGTGGAAGCAGCCAACTGAAAAGCACAACTTCCGTTGATTTTATTAGCGTACATATTAATAAAATGAAACTACGTTATAGTGAAGGACGAGGTAAGTGGATAAACATAGTCTAAATATACATAGTAAGTATATGGAGGGGTGAAAAATAACAGCGAGGTGGGTAAAAATTTCAGTGGTAAGGTTTTGCTAAAGTATTCCCTGGCAAACGGAGAGATAGGGAATGTGGAAACTTCTTCTGGGTACAAGGACTAGGGTTATTCGCTCTAATTCCCATGGCTACTGCTACGTGAAAAAGACGAGTTCGAATACCTTTAGAAAAATGAGGTGGTATGCGGTGAACAACCATGAAAGCGTTTTAATTATTTGTATTATTATCACCATTGTTATTTTAAAATATTTATCACATTGACTAACAAATCTAAATAATTGGATATATATATATATATATATATATATATATATATAAAGCTATTTGTATTAAAGTTTGAAGAGGGTCTTACTGAAGAAAATATTGTTCGCTTATATGTCTTTTTCAAATAACTATTACCATAAACCCCAAGCTAAATTTGGATTAATTAAATGTTATCTTTTTAGCCTTGTCTGAATTGGCAATCACACAAATGAATAACAAAAGCTGATTATATCATGATATATGGTCGGTGACCTTTATGGAGAGAAGCATATAGACTACAATATCATGAAATGTTTTAACCTAAGCTAAAGCATGCGCAAGTTGAATAATAACTTCCCATTCTCTTTTTGAGAGCTAATAATGTTGAAATATCATATCAAATACTAGAAGAAATCAGGCTGGAAAGCCTTGCTAATAATGTCTGATCTGTGATATAGTTCATAGTGATACTCTTTTTAACTTAATAAAAAGGTTTTATTTTAGTTACTTCTAAAAATAAGTTTAACCATGAAGAGTGAAAGACTGTATATCCTTTTATTGAGATGCAAGTGTTCATCATCTGATTTTAACATCTTCAAGATAGTCATTAGTGAATAGCAGATCTATTATGACGACTTAAACGAAACTTTCGAGTTCTACTTATTTGGTCTTCGTAAGTCTTATTCTAAGATTACAGTCAATCGGAAATATGTATATGAGAACACTAACCATCTTGCTAGGATTCTCTTTTGCAGTGAGCTATGTATCAACTAAGATCTAAGTGAAGCATCTACTAAATGGAGGTTATCAGAGTACAGCTGACGTCGAGGAATCTAATTTCTTGAAAAGCAAAAACTCTATATCATAGAGAAGCCCCGGATCATTTTGAATGCACTGGGACATAATACTGTTCAACAGTATCACCTTCTTACTAGCTAGTGCACATGATTTGACTGTTATCATGTTGCAATTTAACAAGGAACCATGGCGTGTAAGAAAGTGATCATGCTACTTAACTCATCATGTACCATTAAGTCGTTACATTTGTACTCACTGAACACAACTAATAATAATTATAATGCTTCTACAAATAAATCTCCGAAACATCACACCTATCTGTGATTTCTGAAGTGTCTAACAATGTCACGACAATGTACAGTAACAATGAAACTATAACAATGATTAACAGTATAACCTTGACAGTATTAACTGCAGTAATCCATTGTTAGTGCATTCACAAGTTTTAAAACTAACGTTCAACATAAGTAAATATCAGTATTTATTACTGTTGTTATCGAATGTGAAATTAGTATTGTTTCAAATGTGATGTTTACAAGGTATCCTGAAGTTCCAGGTGATTAAGGTTATATTGAGATTTTGCAGATGAATTGATAGTTTATCCAAATCAGATTTATAAGTAATATGTCCTTCAGAGTATTGGATTTGATAAGGAGGCGTGATGCATGTCCAGAGTTATGATGAACTTAGTGAAAATTAATTTCGTAATTTACTTTCAATCAACCTACAACTTATGATTTGATATATAATTCTGACAGCGTAATGAGAAGACGAAGATTATCTGAAATATGTGATGTATTAGCGCTATACATTTCGAACAATCTGATCACACATGGACTTGTCGAACTATTTATATGAAAATTTAGACGTATTGCTCAGTCGACGGGAGGATGGCTCGATCAGGAGGTCGATCTATAGGAAACCTACATGGATAGGGCAGTGTCTTAATTTCCATAGCTGTTGTCCAGTCGAATATAAACGTGGTTTAGTCAGATGCTTATTCAACAGGATAAACCGTATCTGCACCGATGACACCAGGGAGGAAGAAGCCAACTTACTGACGACAACTCTGATACAGAATGGATACCCGTTGAGATTTATCGACCGGTGCAAAAGTTATGTACCATTGAAAAGTATACAGTGTTCCGTTGCTAAGAAAAATGTCTACATCTCATTACCACTTAGAGGTGATTCACATAGCTTTGTTGTGAGGAAAAGACTTAGATCGGCCATCTGTAAAACGTATTATGCAGCTAAGGTCACCATTGTAGAGAAGACCAAGTCCATGTTACAGCACAAACCGAAACAACATATAAGCGATTACATCACATCCCACTATGTTTATCAATTTACATGTATGTGTGGACACACATATATAGGGAGGAGTAATCGTGATATGCAGTTAAGGAAGGCTGAACATGTACCTAAGTGGCTACAAAAACAAATGACCTCAACAGATCCGATAAGTGCAGGTGACAAACATCCATCTTCGTCTATCGCTAAACATATACTAGAAACTAACCATAGGATAGACATGAAAACAGCCTTTAAAGTACTACATAATAGTGGTCAGAGCCGAGTGCTTAAATTTATTGAAGCTGTTGCCATCCGTAAATTGAAACCCCATACTTTACGTATACAAAAACAATTTGTACTCATGTTGAACCTACATTGGTGGTGTATTGATTTTAATTTTCATACCAAGAATAAGGCTTTTCTTTTCCTTTTCTATCCCTTCCTATTCCTATGTTTCCCATTAACTTCATTGACCTTTTCGTAAATTTTCATATAAATAGTTCGACATGTGTGATCAGATTGTTCGAAATGTATAGCGCTAATACATCACATGTTTCAGATAATCTTCGTCTTCTCATCACGCCGTTTAAATTTATCAAAGGGACCAGCTGCTTTAAATATAATTCTGATATTTATTTATATTTCTCAACGTTCGCTTGTCAAACCACCTCCTCCATATATATGTGCTAATTAAATTCAAAACATGGAAATCAGTGATGTATTCACATTTCAGTACTGTAAATAAAAGTTTTTCAAGAGAATTTCTGCAAAATTTATTTCGTATGCAAGTAGAAATGTCCATATAGGAGACCATTCATACCTATAAAATGGAATGGCCTTCATAGCCTCTTCTAAGAACTAACTGAAAGGAACAAGAGGTAGATAGTAGGTAATCAGTCGTTCAAACATTGGTTAAATGTTTAAAAAAATAGACTTTTACTTGGTAAATAAGAAAACAGAAAAATAATCTCGTTAAGTAGCATTCAGCTTCTTCTTTTTCAGTCAATATTTTTCAATTTATCGATAAAATCAGTTTGTGTTTACGAATGTTCACACAAGAAAACATGCGCATACGTGTGTGTGTGTAATTTTAGAATCAGGCAGCAACTTAACCTAAAGGCAGAGTGTGTAGATTAAGCGAACCGTGGGCTAGTATATGCCTATTTCCTAGGTATTCTTATATACACCTGCACAGAAGGATATTGTGCATATATGGAACAAAAACTACCTATCCCTAAGGCAAATGAGGTAAGAAAAAAATAATTTTGTGCTAAGCAGTGGAACGAATAACACTGACATACTTGTTATATGTGTACACAACAGTAGAAATCACATCAGTGGATTGCGTTAAACGAGAACAGATTTAGAATCTACTGCCTTCTCCTCTCTCTTGCCCTACAACTTCACATACCACGTACACATTTTGGCAGTCTGACATTATTTTTTAACTCAACAAATACTTATTTGCGGCAAAATAACCATAGTCATCATAATTTGTTGAATTAGGTATACTGACAACAGTGGAATTAGCGCACACGATCAGTTACTTGGCCTCGTTTAATTGTATTAAAACGTAAACATAACAGAACAAACTAATTTGGCAGTTAGTTCCCTTTATTATTGTTCATAGCAGTGATAATTGCCTACATAACAATTTCTTCAGAATACTGGAGTATCCTGGTTGCCGTAAAAGCATAGCATATATATAACCTCCCACATAAGATATCTAGTGTTGATAAACTATTGACTAATCTAGGAAAGTTATGTGCTACATACTAAATATACACACTTCACCAAATCACATGATTTAATATACTTATTTCCTGAAACACTAAAGAAAATACTATTTATTTCCTTATCGAACTTTTGCAGAGTTACTGCAGTACAAACTATTCTTCTAAGAACTCTATCAATGGACTCCATCAGCTGTCATCACCATCGAATGATAAATTGAACTTTGTTAATTCATACCCCAACAAGTGTCCTGATATCCAACATTCAAAATCTCATTCAGTCTCATCAACCTTGCTTCTGCGTGATGCAAATCCAGTGAAGTTATCTGAACCATATCGTGAACAAAGTCGTTCAGTTGGTGGAAGTTTATCTTGTGGTCAACCAAGTCCAACGTCAACCGTTGAAGATCCAAATACAACTGCCCTGTCGCCGACGAGTACGCATACACTTGATGCCGACAATTCAAACCGTGTTCTATGGTTATATCAGTCTGAATTGAATTTACCGACAAACAATGATGACAGTACCCTAGACACAGTAATTACGCCATATAAACGTTCAGAAAGTCAACAAATATCTAATCTCTCTGATTTTGATAGGAAAAATCGAAGTCAAACTTCCAATAATATTTCATTCAATCCACAAGTAGCTAAATACAATTCAGTGAGTTCTGCCATGCTGTACACAGGCAATAATACCAGTCAACGTAACAATACAAACGAAGATTACATGAATAATTATGCTTCAGGTGAGATAATTTTTTAAATTACTGAAATTAAGTGTGTTGTGAAAATCAACTTTTTTGAAAGATATTCAAGAAAATAAGGTTCAATTAGGTACTCACATGATTCAAAGCTTTCGCTTACTTTTCAACTTTGACGAAATCCCTCAGACTTGAATTCCATATTTCTTAATTTTGAAGATGAAAGACGTAGGATCACTACAGATGACAGCAGATAGCTTAAATTCCGGATGAAAATAAACTAATCCATGTTTGATGCCTACTAATTATGTAGTTGTTGTTAGAGGTCAGATGTTATATCGGTAGATTAATCGCCATAAAATGTACACCAGTTCACGACACTAACAGTACTGAAAATTCCCTTTTTCTCTGGGAAATAATATGAACTTAGTCTTCATTAATCCGTTTAATGTCTATTATTGACAGTTCTCTAACACTCCACATAAAATTTATTTGGAGATTCCCACTTATCTTCAATGTTAGACTTTCAAACTGTGATGATATTTCCTGCTCTGTACAGAAAATGAAAAGCAAACCATTCAAACTGTCAATTCAAGAAGTGATATTTTACCTAAGAGTTAAATTTCGTATTTCATTTTATTTTCACATTTTTCTTTAAGATATTTATGATTGGAGTTTTTGAGCCAACATTATCTAACATTTTATAATATCTAGATCTACTTTTAATTGAGGTTGATTAACAAAGGGGAATGTTGCCATTACTAGAATATCTGAAGTTATCATGCAGCGTATGCAGCATTGGAAGCTTACAGACTTGACATTAATATGTATCTACATTGAAAGAAGTGAACATCTCAGTGTGTGAGTTTACTGAAGGTAATAAGTACTCTTTACTGATGAGTGATAAGAGTGAACGTGCAAAACTCAGGTGAAGACATTATTGTTGAATATTTTTTAAGATTGAATAGAAAATTTCCCATTCATAGTTTGAATACAGGTCGTTCATCTTCAAGTCATTTGGTCAGCTAATATCGTAAACATCATTGTTAATCCACTGTCGTTTATTAGTTTTGTACTGGTAGGAAATATCTGTAGCTCTGTATGATGTTGGTAGTTTTAATGTTATCCGAGTTTTGATATTTCCTTCCACCATGAAATACTAAATTTAAGAGAACATCGAACTATCATCATTATTAGTTTTCCTTCATCCTTGTGTTACTTTGTGTCGAAAAGATATTTACTCCCACTTTCCAAAAAATAAGTGATACTGAGGTTCTCATAGACAGAACCAATGGAAAGGTAAATGTAAAAATGCGAACCGAAATTTTCTTTTGCCCTCTTGCTAAATAAAAGTTGACACGTACACTACGATTTATCACAACTGATTGTTTGGATACTTGGAATACAAAGAAAGGATGTCCTAATTCGATTTGATTTGGGTGGATTATTCTTTTATATCTGATATATTATTGTTTGAGTGAGTAATATTAGTGGTAACCACTGATCTGAATGTGTTTTATCAGTCATGGGATAAGCATTTACTGGGGAACTAGTGAAGATCTGGAAACCTCAGATGCTTTTTTATCTATAATTCAATAGTCTTTGTCCACGTGCACCTATGACTACACGCGGAACTGATTGAAGAAACGTTAGATAACACGTTGCAATCCAGAGTGTGAATCATAGTCGAGCTATTCCCATTTTTTGCCTTGTGTAGATTCATAACAAAACGCATGCGAAGTCCAACAGATATCTGTTCTGTGGCTTCTTCTACGGATCTTTTAGGCCACTAACTTCAGACAAATATGCTAGTCTCGGTGCACTTCGTATAACTTGAATAAAGCCCTTCAGTAATCTGTCCAACAACTGAATATAGTCCTTTTATTCCATATCTCCAGAATAGTATCATTACTAATGGCTTTTAGAGAAATAAGATTCCATGTTTTTTCAAAATGCTCAACATTTTTGACATATCAGTGGACAGTAAAGTTTCCCAAATCTCGGGTAAAAATGTTGGTAATTTGGCGGTTTATGATTCTGTAATCATACGAAGTCGGTTATTAGAAAATGCATGTCTCATTTGATAGTACGTCAGTACACATTCACGCTCTACTAATTCATCGAACAAAGTGGAATGAACTCTGTTGATGAAAGAACTACTTCAGTGGATTGAATACACGTTATATTTTTACAACTCTCACTATTTTCAAGATAAAATATTCCTGAAGTTTTCAAATTTAAGTCAACTTTCGGGTAGTACCGCTTGAAATGTGTTTTTATTTCACCTCCACTTATCCTATGGTATCGTAAGTACCCATCTGTCGGAACATAGTTGCATCAGAATGCCTTAATTAAAATACATTTAGCTTGGAGCGTTGATGTTAAGAACCCTTCATCGCTTAGCAGTCGTTCTTATGAACTAATAGACTCTTAACTTGGAAAAATCTATGCAAAAATGAGTCGTCACTTTTATTTTACTAGCGGCTATTAAAGTCAGAATTCGTGACTTATAAATGGATACCTGGTCATACAAAGTTTGAGATGACAACTACTATTTTTTTATAGGCTACACATTTTCCTCTGTTTCAAAATCTGATCATTTGAAAATACTTTGGAAATAGCTTCTACTCACTTGTTTTGATCTAAAATCCACCGATACACTTAAAAGTAAAGAGTATTACAGTGCTAAGTTATGTGGTTAGATTGATACAGTTCTCTCTGAATAATTTTGCTTGGAACATCACTTAGCAAATAATACCAATTTACAGTTTGATGCGTCCAGTAAATGTAATGAGGTGGAATGGAATACTTCAATTTTGTGTAATAAGATACTAATGCTAAACAGATTCTGTTCGATGATGCTCAATTCAAGGAAACTAAAAACATCGGAAAAAACGTGTTCAGAGTAACTCGATCCTCAGTGAATATTTATTGAAATATACCTAGCTTATCATTTTGACTATCTGAGATGGCCATGGTTTGGTAGACTAGTATTTATACTGAGGGATGGTTGAAGGCCAAATAAAAATTAAGACTGAGGTGTGATTCAAGCCAGTGACCCCCAGGTTACCGGCCTTCTAGCTCAGTTGGTAGATAACCGGCTCATTAACCCGGTGGTCGCTGGTTCGAATCCAACCGCAGTCCAGAATTTCAGTTCACCTTCAATTATCACTCAGCATATATCTAGCTGTTGAAAATTCATTTGTTTATTGTAAATTTAAATTTGCTTGATGAATTTACATTTTTGTAAGCTCTTGGAGAGCGATAGATTTTCAGTTTACTACTTCCCATCTCACTCAACATAATTCCAGCTTTATTTCCAAATATTTCCCGAAAATTAGTATTGAAACCAAATAATAGTTAATAAAAAAGTATGAATGAAACGATACTGTCAGATATTTTCAGCTTTTAGGAAATATTACTTCCATAATCCTTTTGTGTCATATATATATTTTGATGTGCATATGTTGCAGAAGTGTTCAGATGAAAATTTGATTCTGCCTCCAAACATATCACACTGAATATAGCGGTTGTGTTTTTTATCGAATGAATTTAAGACTTAACCATATAGTAGCAACCAGAAGGCCCAACTTTGCCAGTCGGTCGAGAATCAACTAATGATCTGACATGATTCAACTATGAAGTGTTCGATTTATTTGTTACTTATTGATTGAGCCAACCTTTTAATCTGTACTGAAAATACTATCGGCGTTTTTAGCTTCACTGACTCCGTAGGTATTCCGGTTTTATATTTTTTAATTTTGTAAGTAGTTGTCAATTTTTAAAGCATCAATGTGTGTTAGATCACAGCGTGGAATTTTATCTGTAAAATAAAGTGAATTAGTGTTGTCTTTTGATCTTGCTGTTCAATATTTCAGCTTCCAAAAGTTTCTAAATGTTTACTTTCAACTTGGTTATTTTTCTCATAGAAGGCATGTGTATACCCATAGAAATCTTTGCGGATCTACCTGCAAACTGTTCAAGGCTACGTAAAAGCCACTAAACGAATTTCCAAACGAATTATTCGTTCCATTCAACTAATCACTTTTTATGTAAATTTCATTTTCCGTTCCCATTAAATGTATGATTAATCACTGTGATTGTTGTGCAGAAAGTTCACGTCATTTAAATCCTAAATATTTCGACAATCCTTAGCAACAGAAATGCCAACAACACAATATTCTCGTTATTATCAGCGTCAGTAATCACGTATGCGAATAGATAACTGTGTAGTTCTCGTCGATAGTTTCGACGGCACCAGAGGTACCTATATGATATACACCAACTACAAGGTTTTATACCCAACTGTGATTATAGAATTTAGAAAGGTGAAACGGTTTCATCAGTTAATTTGAAAGGTGCAAAACGTACCATTTTCGTCTGTGAGAGGCGTCTACATGTGAATTCCGTCAAATATGAAATGAAATAGTTATTAATATTGGAATGTGTTGGAAAGAGATTTTTCTTGAATATTTTAGTGAGCAGACTAGAAAATTGTTACTGCCTTCAAGTGATACATTTATGTAATTCTGGGTTCATTATTGATAAACCTTTTACTGTCTTACACTTAAGAAGTTCATTTTATCACCTGGAATCAGAAATCTGACTCTAGGATTTGCTTTAATACTCTACTCTTAAAAAGGTTAGCTGTTCTTGCCTTCTGTCAGATAAAGTCATGAACATATTTTTGACGTCAAGATAACTACTAATATAATATAATATAATATAATATATATATATATATATAGTATAATAATATAATATAATATATAAAGGGCCGTGACACTTGAATCTGTGTTTATTACTTTCCCCACACCTGCTAACAACTAACGCATACTTATGAATGTAAATGATGATAGTGGTTATCGACAAGGCCAAATTTAATTTTTTGCATGCAAAGCTGTAGGATTATAAGAGAGTTTAAGCTTAAAACAGAGACCTAGTCGATTTAACGATGGCAAAGTATAATAACTTTTAGTGTTGAATCTCTATCTTAACAAACTCCATATTAGTTAGCTTGAAATGTGTAGTTATCCATCGGTATT